TTAGTTTTTGGTTTTCAAGGGTGTTCAGGAACTGGCGTGTTAGCACGGGTCAAGGATTGCTTTTGACCCGTTGATTATACAATGAGAATGGGCCGCACATCCTGGTATATTAACAGATTCCAAAGGTCGAAGTAAATCAAAACAATTACGGAAGTGTGCTTAAGACCCGTTAAACCACGGATTCCGGCTAACCCTGGCGATCCATGTGTTAAAAGATAAACCAAACTACAATTAACTGTTGTTATCAAAGTTATCAAACTACAACACAAGAAAAATATACAAAAATATATCAAATAGATAAGACTTTTATAATATTATGTCAAAATCTTCTAATTTTCCTTTTTTTGTATACAGTTTAAATTTGTTTACACTCATCCTCGCCAGTTACGTGTCTGGTTTTTTTGTAATGTGTATGTAAAAAATTGTTTTCAGGGAAAAACCAAACAAACGTCCACTGATGATAAAGAGCAAAGGGAATCTACTGACAAGGGCCTGTTTATCGCGAAGAGCCAAACCAAGCTTCACATTAATTAATCACTTTTTTTTTATTTTACCAATAGATATGATAATTAAAAAATGAATAAAAGTGACAAACTTGTTTTGTTTAAAATGTGCTTTGTATATTTTGTATCAATTTATATTTATGAACATAATTCTTTTAAACCGTACAAAATTTTTTATTTTTACTAAATCCTCAGCAGACAATAAAAAGAAAACTCCATATTTTAATTATTAGTTATAGTTGTGTTGAAGAGGATCGGAAGGAGGTCAATTGATAAGTATACTACAGTTTTGTCAATCTTTCAACTTCAAATTAGCCATCATCAGGGCCTAAGTTTAACAAATTTACATTTAACATTAAATTTACGATCTTAATAATTCATCACAATAATAATCGAATTTAATGCCATCTACAGGCAACTGAAGGTTAATCTAAATATTTTTTTATACTTTATACTTATAAAATATTAAGTATTTGTTGTAAAAATTTTGAGAATGCATTTCATTATTAACGTTAAATAGAATAATAGTAGAGTGATTACTACCTTATCATTGATATTTTTTGTGTTAAAATTGCAAACTTGAAAAAAATTTAAAATATTAAATTCATGCGGTATAAAACCGCCTCAAAATGTTTTCCTCATTATATAGTTTGCGTTAAACTGGCCGGGTTAATTTATGATAATTCTGCATACGACGAAGGGCAGGGTTTCCATAAAGAACATAGCTGAAATATGAAATATACTAATAATAAATAAAATATAATAAATAATAATTTTGATCAACAATATCTTTTAGTAGTTCGAAATATTCATCTTTCATTGTTAAATATTGTATTCATTCTGTCTTTCGGATTAGTCATCATTTAGCTAATATTTATCATGTACCTTACTTGAAGGTCAATTTGCTAGACAAACCGGCAAACTTGTTTATTATATAATAACTGTAGACTTGTTTTGTATGTACGGGAAAGGATATTTAAATAAAAATATAAATAAGTAAATAAATAAGAGTCAAGAATTTTACTACTTTTAAACTGAAGGGGAAATGTAGTGTTATTTTTGTTTTTTATTTTTTACGCTGCATACTTGATTTAATAATAAACTTACCGGATAATAAACATAGGCCGCTTTTTCTCTGTTTTCATTTTTGAGCCAGATCTATGGTAATTCTATATAAATAATCCAGTAAAGAATCGAGTTGGGGGATTTTCAGATTTGAACTGTCGTCAATTCGGTCAAGCTTTATACGGATTGGTGTTTTTATTTTTAAATTTGCTATTTTGCCATTTTATATAACAGGAATAACCACAATGAAATTTCCTTTTTCATTGTAATATATTTATAATAATTGTAATGTCAAAACATGGCTTTTCTTTTTACGGAGTTTTTCGTGATTAATCCCACCCCATAGAATCTTTGCTGAATGCATCACAATAGATAGAATCAAATAGAAAATAAAATAAAAATAGAAAAAACTTTTATTCCGATGATAAACATCATCATGACTGGAACATTGGGAGATGTGTTTTAATGCGTATACAGGGATGTTTAAGTTTTTTTTCTAAATATGATTATCCTTCATTACAGGAGATTTATTTATTATAACAATTTTTTCTTGTTAGTTTGAGTTGTAGTATCTTTTCTCTGACCAAACATGAAATAGATAATGATGTACAATTTTAAAAGCTGATCGTCATATTAACATCGTAAACCATCATCATGATTTTTATTTAGAAATCGTGAGATGCGGTCTGGTGTGATGTAGGTTTCAGAAAAACATCGCATCTCACGATTTCTAAATAAATATCGATTAACGGTCACTAATCACCACACAAATCATCATGATATTCAGAGAAATAATTTTGAAAGTGCACATTAATTTTTTATTACTTTGATCATGTCGATTTAAAAATTGCTCAATCTAATTTTATATATCTAATAAACATTGTATACATTCATAGATGTATTTATAAATGTATACAAAGGTCATTTCACTTTCTTTCTTTTTTTATTGACTTCAACAATTTCACTAATAATTGATTATACATAAAGTTTTTTCATAAGAAGTTTTTAACAGATCATAAGGCGTATTAATTAATAAAATGTAATATATTAATTATAATATTAACTATATTAATTTATAACATCAATACATTTTAATGTTATAAATTAATTGTAATTCATAAAATATAATATTATTAATTATACTAATTTATAACACTAAACTATATTACTACGTATCCAATATAATAATTAATTATTTTGGATTATTCATTCTGATGTTTAAATAAACATCATGCATTAATGATGATTCCTGGAGGAGTATTTTTGAATGAAAAAACAAGGATTTTTTCAGGCAAATGTACAATTATAATTAATTTCTCATGAAAGCATTCGCTTGACAAAAGATTTTTTTTGCGCGTGCAGACAGGGAAAATGTCTTTAAACACATTTATTTTGATGACTCAAGTTTATTGATTACACGTGCAATATATTTGTGCGTGTTTTTTGTTAAATAAAGAAATGTGATATAATGTAACATTATAATGGCAAATATGTTGTTTATAAATGCATGTTTTTCATGTACATATTGGCCAAATTCAAAATACTTTAAAGTTATTCTTGTATAACTTATGATTTTCTTAAAATCGTTAAAATAGCACGTCTAATTTTGGAATGCCAGTACAGGAAATTTTGAAAGACAAACTGTACACTTTTAGCAATTTCGTGATATAAACTTTGAGAAGATTTGAAATTATGGCTTTTTTTGTCTCTTCCATTATTGGGACATTTGTTAGACTTGTTAAGAAGGTGGGGATAATTTTTTACAAATTCAAACCAAAAATCTGACTGCCAGAATTGAGAAGAATTGCACGTGCATTTAGGAAATTGAACAAAAACTGTGGAGAAAGATTTTTAAGAAAAAAAGCACTTCTTGTAGGAGTAAAAATGACGTACATTTGAAAATGTGAATACTCGAATGGAGGAATCTTTTTATTAAATCGTGGATTTTTTGGGTCCTTTTTTAGACTTATTAAGAAGGTATGGGTCATTTTTTACAAATGCAATTCAAAACTCTGACTGCCAAAGTTGAGAAGATTGCACTGCACGTTTGTTCAGGAAATTTGTACAAAATGGAAAAAAGGATTTTTTTAAAAGTCCTGATAGTCGTTTCGAATTTCAGCTTAAAAATCGTGTTTTTAATTATATTAGATGGTGAAATTTTGGTAATTTTCATTATTCTATGGCCTTTTTATAGACTGTAGATGTAAACATGAAAATTATGCACTTCTATACCTTGGGCCATTCGTGAGTACTTAAATTGAGGAATATTTTCATCCAATCGAAGATTTTGAAGTCATTTGTTAGGCTTGTTAAGAAGTTCTGGGTCATTTTTCACAAATTTAATCCACAAATCTGTTCAAATTGAGAAGATTGCTTGTGCATTCAAGAAATTTGAACAAAAAATGTGGAAAAAGATCGCTGTTCTTCTAAATCCTGTGTTGTGTATAGTTTCAAATGTAAGCTTTAAAAACCTTTTTAATTATATTAAGTAGTAAAATTTTGAAGTTATTATTTACTGGTCTACCGAAACAGGTATATTTGTTGGTATAAACATGAAAAATTGTGCATTTCGATACCTCAGAGGATTCGTGAGTACTTAAATTGAGGAATATGTGTAGTATTTAGGTATTGAGCGGGATATTTAGATTTTGCAGTCAAGCTTGTTACGAAGTTGTGGGCCATTTTTCACAAATACAATCCATAAATAAGTCTGTTAAAATTGAAAAGTATGCATGTGGATTCAAGAAATTTTAACAATAAATGTGGAAAAAAGATCGCTTGTTTCGGCTTAAAAATAACCTTTTTAATTATATTAAGTGGTGAAATTTTAAAGATATGTGACGGCCAATCGAAAGTTTTTTTGTTGATGTAAACATGAAAAAATGTGCACTTGGACACCTTGGGCGCCTCTGAGTTTTTGATTGGAAAATCTTTTTACTATCTCGTGTTTTTACAATTGTATAATACGATATAAGTTTATATAAATGTTTAGGATTAAAAAAAAATTCAGGGTTAAATAGCCGGTTAGAAATGGCAAACATTGAGAAAATACATTCGACACGTGCATTCAGGAAAGTTGGAACAATTTTAGAGTAAAAGCCTTTTTTCCTTTTGTAAATTTTTTGCTGGCCATCATTTCAAATTGCAGATTTAAACTTTTGAATATTTTGGGTATTGGAGAACTGAGCACACATTCTGCATGTGCATTCAGGAAAATCGAACGAAAAATAGTAATTTTTTTCGTTTTAAATTATGTTTTCAAATTGCAACTTTAAAAAATGGCATTTTTGAATATTTTGATCTGAGAAATTTTATAATCTCTTCGGACCTTTAAACACTGTTTATGTGAACATTATGAATGTTTTCGTGTGTATTTTTTTTTTTTTTTTTTTTTTTTAATAGTGAAAATCGATGTTTTGTCTATCATCTCACCTCCAGGAGTTGTGGAATAGAGGGTGCCTCCGGGGGTTGTCGAGTAGTCGACGGGTAACTGTGAAGGGTCGTTTATGAGCATCCTTTTCGAAGGTATGATCTGGCTCTGTGTGGCTTGTCTTGCAACGGGGCTGGCTGACATTTCTCGGCTTTTTTCTCTCTCTTGTCTCCCAACGAAACGAAACCTACGACACTCGACGGCGAACTGCGACTTGGGACGGCGGACCCACTCGTAAAACGGGCCGACTACGTGACGACCTTGCTTCTAGTTCGATGAGCGACCGTCGGGCTCACTGCTCACTGCTCCTCTCCCCTTTTCATCATCACTGTACGACGCAATAACCCAACGCGGGGCAATCTTTATTTTCGTACTTCTATTCTTCTCCCCTCGCCTTTTATTCTATTAAAAAAAAATCTCTCTTGGGAACCTGAATACACGTGTATTTACTGGCAGGATTCTCGTTTCGCGAATTTCCCTAAACATATTGTACAACCCTCAATAGTACTAAGACTTGGATGCCCCACAGAGAAGTTTTTGTTTAAAAGGTCTTTGTTTTAAGGTTCCAGTTCCAAATTTGAAAAATTTCCTGTACCTGAGGTGAGATTTCCAATCTGCCATGGTTGCAAAAAAAAAGTGTTTAGTGGACAGCTTTAAGCTTTAGAATGTGCACTCTTGTTCCACATCCTCTTATATATCCAGGGCAAAATGAAAATTTGTTCGGAAACTATATTATTTGTGAAATCTCCAACGAAACCTTAAAAATTGTCAAAATATTTTTTTTTTTTCAACTCAAGATAGTTCCATATAGCTTCCATATTGAAGGAAAGTAAGAAGAAAAAATAATAAAGCAAGCGATCAACACAATAAGTAAACAAAAAACAGAGCTTGATATGATGATTGACTCACCGATTGCAAACATAGTAAAATATCCAGGCACGTTTCTCGATAACTGATATGGAACCCCACACTTGACTGAAAAAACAGGAACTTAACAAAACTATACAAACTTTTGTACGTGTACTAGACAAATAGAACATTTAACAATCTAGTAAAGTTTTTTATCTATCTCTCGGCATCCTTAAACATTTAATACTTATTCGGAGATCGTGAGATGCGGTCTGGTGTGACGTAGGTTTCAGAAAAACATTTTCTTTATTGTGCCAACGTTTCGATCTTTATTGAGATCACCTTCAGGGCCTGGGATTTACATTTTTTAAATTTAACAAATATGTGTAGGATGTGAATAAAATGAATTTATACAATGCTAGAAAATTTTAGATTAAAAAAATGGATTTATGCAATACTAGANTTTTTTTAATCTAAAATTTTCTAGCATTGTATAAATTCATTTTTTTTAACATTCTACATTTATTTGTAAAATGTAAACAATGTTTATAAATCCCAGACCATGAAGATGATCTCAACAAAGATCGAAACGTTGGCACGATAAAGAAAATGTTTTTCTAAAACCTACGTCACACCAGACCGCATCTCACGACCTCCAAATAATCATCAAGTAACGGTTACTAAACACCACACAATTCTAGTCAATTTTTCTAACTATCCATAGGCATCCCAAAACATAAACTATAAGATCGAACAAAATAACTCCAAAAATAAATCGTTCAAATTTGTCGAAAAGCATGAATAATCAGACAAACTTTTTTTAAAATATTTTGCTAATTGAACTGATTATCTATTGGTGTAATTTTCGACGGTGCCATGAAAATTTTTTTAAAAAGTGATCAAGTGCTTGATATGAGATTTAGAATGTACACTTAATTAGATTAATTTCGAGATTAATTTTTTTAACCTAAAATTTTTTAGCATTGTATAAATTCATTTATTTTTATTTAAAAAAATGAATTTATGCAATACTAGAAAATTTTAGATTAAAAAAATGAATTCATACAATGCTAGACAATTTTAGATTAACAAAAAATTATTTATTGTTGTAATTTTCGACGGTGCCATGAAATTTTTTTTTTAAAAGTGATCAAGTGCTTAATATGAGATTTAGAATGTACACTTTTACTCTTAATTCGCCACATGTTGATTGCAAATAGGAAAACTTTTGGAGTCGTCCGAAAAGTCAAAAATTCACGGTAAGGATCACCAATGCTCTTTCACACACCGAACGCAAAATTCCTTTTTTTCAAAGAATTCACCCTTTCCCGTTTACAAAACTCCATAACAATAACACTAACCCAATTGACCAAGCTTAATAACTACTAGGTTAGGTCGTCATTGGGCGACTTAGCTTTTCCAACTTCCTTGTCATTTGAATGTTAATAACTTTGATCCCAGGTTCCCAACCATGAATAAATGGTGGCACCAAAAAACCAGATCTTCTGGCAAATAATTTTATTTATTTAAGTTTAAATTATGACTTGATTTTGTAAGACTGAGATATCTTCATGTTGTCTGTCTACTGGGTGATGGATGTACCTGAAATTTGACGAACAGTCTAAAGATAGCGAAACGTGTCTGACAGACCAACCCTGCGAGGATGGGTAAACCAAAATAATCGGTAACGACTAAATTTTTGTAAGATTCAGATTATAAATCAAAATGAACAGAAACAGAAAGCAGTTAAAGATAGTTTAGGTACAGTATTTTGAAAATTGTTATGAGCAATTAATGACTAATTAATTCTTGAAATACATCAATCTAGCTCTGGAATCATTAAATTAAAAAAAAATCAGAAATAAATTTAAAATAGTCCATATGAACAATATTAATGCCTTCGTTTCCAAAATATGAGGCTATGCACTAAGATGGGCATATTTTCCAAAATCTATTCAATGTGATTGTTTTGATTGTTGATTCATTTTTTAAAGATTTTCCTTTGTTTCTCTAAAAAAGAAATGATTGAACAAATAACAATGTGATTCATTCATTCCAACACATGTGATTGGAAATACACTTCGAAATTTGTAAAAAAATTTCCGGCAATTTTTACATAACTCATTTCGCAATAATGGATTATTTTTTAATGGTTAAAATAGTTCACCACTTTGGATCTCATTGTTTCAATTATAATCTGAATTGTGTGGTGTTTAATGACCGTTAGTTAATGATTGTTTAGAGATCGTGAGATGCGGTCTGGTGTGACGTAAGTTTTAGAAAAACATTTTCTTTATCGTGCCAACGTTTCGATCTTTATTGAGATCATCTTCAGGGCTCAAAGTGTTTGTTTTCTCTGTAGATGTGTCATTCTTGTGTGTCGTGTTGAGAGTGACCACCATATCTCACTGGCACTCTGACACATCTACACGGAAAACAAACACTTTGAGCCCTGAAGATGATCTCAATAAATATGGAAACGTTGGCACGATAAAGAAAATGTTTTTCTAAAACCTACGTCACACCAGACCGCATCTCACGAACTCCAAATAATTATCATCAGAATCATCGTTTCCTTTGTATCTATCGGAGAGACAGGGTAGATGACTCATTTTAGATGTAAATTCATTATTCTTTACAAAATTCTGCACAAGTTTTTTTTGTGTGTACGTCTTGTCTCACTGGTGCCCGTCTGTTTTGTCGTTCACCGTATACCCAATTTAGAAAAACCTATGCAATTGTTAGGCCAATAATAATTCATTTGTAACAAATAAAGGGCAATCAAAACTTAGATAATCAAAAATAGTTTTTATTTCTTCATACTCCTAAATAAATATAACATTCTGGTAGAATTATTTCTGAAGAAAAATTTTTAACAAGTCATTGTTGGAACGCTAAGTACGAAATAATTAAGGAACTAGGGAAAAAGAAAATTTGGTAATTTTTATAACAGCAAAATATATTTTCATACAAATTACAAATACTAGTTATTAAAAAAAATACTGCCAAATTCTCCAGTTGTCTGTTCAAATTAAAACTACTGGCATTTACAATTTACTACCGTTAAATTTCAAAGATGAAACTTAAGTTTAGAACAAAATTGATTTTTTGTAACCTAATTAACGAAAGATAATTGTATAAATTTAACTTTTAAATTTTAACCTTTGGAACCGTTTTTCTCACTAGATGGCACAATGGCGCATAACAACCGTGTTATTTTTTTTTTAAAATAAATACTAACTTTTGTAATAATTCAATTATTTTATCCCTGAAATATTTTCTAGGACCTGGCTTTGAAACTTGGTTTGAACAAAACAAGCAGGTACAAAAGGGTTGAAAGGGAAAAACCTTTTCATCTTCCCCAGCTTGAAGCTAAAATGTAAAATATTAAAGGCGGACAGTTTTTCGATAAACACGTCACAAAGGAAAATAAATTATTTGCTTACGTTTTTCACGTTTTATGACAAAAGTTAAGAAAATTATAAAAGGTTTAGCTGTAAAATTAGTACAGAGAATGATTATTACTGTTCATATACGAGAAAATGTTTAGACAGTAATAAATAAATAATTTATGCACTATAAATCACACAAGGACACTTTGTCCATTGTTCATAAGAGTTATCTTTCGTGCGAACTTTGAACGATTTAATATCTCTTCTCCCTATAAAATAACTTCTTATCTAAGAGTGATTACATTTTTGAGCTTGGTTGATTTATTTTTATCCAGTATTAGACAGATCTGCTTGATGATTAATACCCAAATAAAAACAATTTGGTTTAAAAGTCTTTTTTTTTGTTCTTCATGGTCGTAGGTAAAAAATTAATTAATTATAAGTTCAATTTGAAATTAAGCTCGTACTTTCAGAATCCAGCCTTCGTACATTCTCGAGGTCTTATTTTATGATCTTGTTAAACAGGTTCAACTTCCGCATTATCCCAAATGATTCTAATTCTTGCTACCGTAAAATTTCTCGTATATAATTTTTTTTCTTTTTTTTACGAGGGTTCGCAACAGTAGAGGTCATAATATAAACCCTCAGGGTGCCGGTGTTTTTTGAAAAAAAAGCCCATTTGTAAGTATGTCGGGTTCGAATACCAGGGCCGCTGGATTCGTACCCGGGACCTTTACCTTACAGTGATGAGCGCCGTGTCAGAGACTAAACCTTGCGGCCACCGACGCCCCCTATAATTTTTTTAAAATTTCAGTTTGGAAAGCTTATCTATGTTTTGGTTCTTTTTATAATTTCAATTAGAATATTGTACTTTCTTTACTTCTCCCCTGGATCTTTTTAATCTCATGTTGGATATCAATTATCAAATAACTATTGTTTCTGTTAACATCCAACGGAAGGATATGATAACTCATATGGTTGAGTGGCTTCGGTTTTTCCAACTCGGCCGGAACAGATTTCAATCTGGATGGATTAT